GTGAGCAGAGAGGCCCAGGGGGCCGCAGGCAATAGGGGCAGGGGTGCCACACGCCGAACTTGGAGCAGCCAGAGGCCCACCGCCAGGCCCCGGGAGGTAACTGGCACCTGAGGGCACTGAGGGGAGGGCGAGGCAGGGAGGCGGGAGAGAGCGAAACACCCCACCTCACGCTCAGAGTACCCCTCTCGGCAGATCAAGCCCCCCACACACAGGCACGGCCAGTGTGTGTCTGAGGAGACAGGATGCAGAGGGGTGACCGGTCACGGGAACGAGCACCCGCCGCAGGAGTGGCCTCGCCGGGACACACGGGAGGCCTTGCCGCTGGCTCGGCCTCCTCTCCTGAGGTCCCCCAAACAGACAGACGTGTCCGCCTCAGTCCACCTCGGCCCAGGGCCACCTGCTCCCAAAAGGCTCTCGTGGGCGGCACGCAGGCCCAGCCCACTGCCCGCCCCACCCCCACCACAGCCTCTGGGGCTCTGAGAGCAGCTTCCTGTGTGCTGGAAGCCCCAGGCCCGCCCCCAGTCTGCATCCAAGGGGCAGTTGTCCCCAAGCAGGAAGCAGGTGCACATGCCACGTGTCCCCAAAGGCTGAATGGACACAAGGGGACATTCTCTCCACTTGGCTCACTCCACAGGCCCTGAGACCACCTGGGCTGGTGTCGGGGAAGGCAGAGGCTCCGGGCCCACCCCACCCCCACCCTGCGGACAGAGCAGGAGAAACGGAGGTTCCCCAGACCAGCGGCTCGCGCTGCTGGCTGCACAGAGCAGGGCAGGGCCGCCGGGCCTTCGGCGCCGTCCTTGTCTAGGCCAAGCCGCGGGTTTCGGCAGAGCCCCAAAGTCCCAGGGAGACCCCCTCAAGCGAAGAGGAAGAGCAGGGCCCCGGGGGCTCCCAGATGAGCAGGTAGCAGGGGTCTGCTTGACCAGGATAGGACGGCTGTGTCCCGACATCCTGTCTGGGCTCCCTGGAGCACTCAGGACAGCCCGCCGGACCAGCACGTCTCCTGTCCCTTGGACCAGGATCCCGGCCTGCTGCAGGGCACTTAAATGCACGCACACGAAGACAGCATGAAGAGGGACGGGCTTTGCGGACAAGCGGACAGAGGGGCCCTCTTAGCTCCGTCACTGCCCTGCCGGATGGGAATCCGGTCTAACCTGCCTGTCCTGTGCCCTGTCAGGGGCGAGGACTCAATTACAAACCCTGTGCCTGGTGGAGTGTGGCCTACACGCCCGTCGGATCCTGCAGGCTGGGACGGTGCCCCTGGCGTTGAGCCCCTGCACCCTGTCTGCATCACCCAACCTCTAAATCTACCCCTGGGGCCCTTCGGCACACCTGTCACTTGGGCCAGGACCTCCCACGGGGGGGAGGGGGGCGTCCATGCGGAACCTCTGGCTGGACGGCACCCAATCCAGGCACCCACTGCCCTCTGCCCAGAGAAGGGCCGCCGGGGAGAACGGAGCGCCGTTTCTGGCCCTCGGGGCTGGGGTGCGGGTGAGCGGGGAGGGGACTCACCGGGCACCACAGGGAGGCTGAAGAGCTGGCTGTGGGGCAGCAACAGGAGCGCCTGCTTCTCTGAGCCCCTGAGCAGCGCAGAGACAGAGACCGGCCCGCTGTGTGGGCGGGGGCCGGGAGCTGGCTGGATCCCAGGGCCGCGTCAGGACCCAGGACCCAGGACCCTCCCGCCAGCTGTGCGACTAAAGCCTGTGCAGCCGGGAGAGCGGGTGGAGGTGCAGAAGGGCACCCCGGGGAGGGGCCCGGCGTCGCGACAGGGCCACACGGCATTCCTCTCTGCTGCTCAGCTCTCTCCACCTTGGAGTGTAGGGGCTCACCCTCCAGCAAAGGGCCACGGCGGACCTCTGAGCTGGACCCTGATATCCGCTGCCCGCAAGCCTCACCAGAGACACCTGCCGTGCGAAGCCGAGTGAGCGCTCAGACCCCCGGCCACACACCGTGACCCCCACACCGCCCCGGGGGTGCCGGGCCCTCTGGCTCTCACCGGACCCCAGCCCTGCGTCCATGCTGGGGAGCCAGCTGAGGCCTGGCGGGCCAGCACCCCACCCCCTTCCTAGCCCAGCCACCTTGCCACGCTGGCCCCTTCCACGAGGGCCCACTTCCCGGGGGGCCGCTGCCCGGGCCGGGGCTCCAGGGGAGCCCTCAGCACCCCAGCCGCCGTCCGTGGAAAGGCCGAGGGGCCGTCCTGCTCAGGAGCCCCTCTGAGGGCTCCTCAGACACTCCATCCCCTGCCCCTCCCTCTGCATGGTGTCAACTGCAGGAGCCCGAGACCTGAGCTCTACTGCCACCCGCTTGTCCCCCTGACCTTCATCCCCCATTCTTCCTGAAGCTCTTCCTTCCCCCCATCTCCTCATTCAGGCACAAGACCCGACAGGTAGAGCATCCCGTGGAGGAAACTCGAACTTCCCCCAAGC